GGGGGTGCCCGTGCCGGGGGTGCCCGTGTCGGGGGTTCCCGTGCCGGGGGTTCCCGTGCCGGGGGTTCCCGTGCCGGGGGTGCCCGTGCCGGGGGCTTCATCCGCTTGTGTCGGGACCGCCTGGACCGGGGGCTTCATCCGCCGCGCTGCCCTTCAGCGTTACCGCTGTGCCCTCGTCCCCCAGATCCAAGTGTTAAGGCTTGTGACGCGTGTCGTGGATTTAAAGTACCAACATTTACTTGATGGCCTCTGTTTATGCAGACTGAGCATCATATTGTGGTTTTGATAGCAGAGCAAGGAGGATTGGAAGAAAAATATATCTGTGAGAGGTTTCTTATATACCATTATATAATAAAAATTCTTACTTAAAAGAGGAATAAGTACTCAAATGCCTTTAGGAAAAGCAAATAGCTACTTAAATCTTGCCAATATAGCAGAATAAAAAACGTGTTAGTTGACATTTGGTAACAAACTTACACTGTTTTACTTAATCAGTTTAGTTTTTTAAGTGTGACTCAGATAGTCCAAGTATTTATTACAAATTTTGTTTTGATGCACCTAAACCGCTCAGATGAGAAATGTCTGAAAAGGTGTTAATGAAAAGCCGTGTACAAACAAAACACTCTTTGATGTTATCAAGTAACGGAAAAACTTCTTACCATGGAGACGTGTTAAATATGGCATTTTTTCTGGAAGAATAAATTATTTGGAGACAAGGAAATATGAGAGAGAAAAATACAGATTCATGATGGGACATGATTTGCCTGAAGGCAAAGATGATTTCTGAATCAAGCTTAAATGAAAACACAAGGTTCAGAAAGAGCAGAAGTCATGTGGGCACCTCTTGGAAAGCTGGAGGAGTGCACTCCTATCCAAATTCTGGTAATGGCTGCCTACCCTGACGTGAAACCATTTCTGTTTGGAAGCATTCCTGAATGTTAGGCCAAATTAATAGAAAGTATGCAGAAAAATATGGCACCACTTAAAGTAGGTGAAAGATGCATAAAGTGGTCCCAAAGGATAAACTAAGAGACTAAATTTGTTTCTAAAAACAAATGTGCACAAGTTTATTGTGTTTTAACTTCTGCATTGAAAAATCTTTGGTTTTACACATTGCTTCCCCCCCCCCCCCCCTTTTTTTTTGTGCCTTAGTCATTTGCAAAGAGATAGTGGAACCAGTAGTATGGAAAGAATGAGTTATATTATCATCAAATAGGAAATTTTAATGAAGCCTGGATATCAGAGCCTAGACAAGGGTGGGCTTGGGAAAAGCAAAAGTTGTGCTTGTTCCCTTGAGGGACCTCTGAATTAATGATCCAGATACTACACTTTCACAAGAATACTGCACTCACCAGAGCAAATCAGAGCTCAGACAAACTGGATTGCATTCTTTGCCACTCTTAAAGAAAGGCAGATTGAGGTTCTTTTTGTATAGACATGCCAAAACTGTAGCTTTAACAGCAAGTAACTGGAGACTTCAGTATCTTTGGCTGGCTGGCATGAAAACTAGAGTGGGTTGAGTCTCTACATGACTGGTGGAGGTGATAACATAAATGATGCTTTGGGGTATCTATGTAATGTGGTCTTTTTTGCAACATTTTCTGGTCTTAATGTTTATATTAATAACACATTTTAATCTGCTTGTTCTGTAATTTCCTTAAAATAATCCAGTGTTTTCTTTCCTAACTGTTCTACATGTTTGGCACATTTTTATTATTTCATAAAATAGGGGCATTGTCTTATACCTGAGTTGCAAAAGTCTGCCCTATGTTTAAGTTCATATTGTGTGATTTTTTTGGAGTCCTTTCTCAATTCACTTGTATTACAGTAGGAAAAAATTACTGTAGAAGTAATGATGTTCCAGTTCAGTGAGAGATCACATTTGTCTGCATTTTTTCATATATACTAACTGCATCTCTCCTTCCATCTTCTCCCCATGAGCAGCTGCTCTAATGATTAAAGTAGTTCATTAGTGATACTTCTATTAGTGTATCAGTAGCAATTCAAGACATAAACAAATACCAGRCATTGTTTTTAATCTCTGAATGTTTATCATTATCGTTTCTAGTAATGCAGTATGTGTTCTCTAGTTCACAGAATGAAATTATTCTAGAAAAACCAGTAAACTCAAGCTACAGAAGCAAACATGTCCTACCATGTATAATGTTTCAAGCTGCTTCATTTATGGAGTAAGACTCATTAACTGGCCAATGTACAGTAGCTTTCTCTTTAATTACACCGTTTCATTATACAGTGGAATTGTTTTTCAGAATGCAACTGTTTTTGCACACTGACCTTTTATTATAAGAGAAGTTTCTGTCTAATGAAGAGAGATAATTACAGTACAAAATAGACTTTTGACACAGAGAAAACTATTGTTACCAGGACTCCCCTAGTGCATAATATTATTTTAAAAGAGAATGTAATTTACATATTTTTTTAATTATAGAGTTGTGTGTAAGTAGCAGTGATGACGAGAGACAAACTAAGAAAAGCAGTGCTTGCAATTGCCCTCAAATTGGTCTGTAGTTCCCACAGTAGATAGCATTCTATGTGTTGCAACTGACAGAAAGGGTTTATGAGAGAGATAGGGATGTTTGAGGAGGAGTCACTTTCTGACCTGTTCAGTGCCTTTTAGTTTGTTCCCWTGTTGTCTCTTTATTAGGATGTGTGACCACTTTCTACCCAGCACAGAGATCAGTCTTGACCTTTGCATGTCTAAATATGATAGAGAATTTTATTGAAGTCTGAAACATGATAATTATGAAGGRCATTTTTTCTGACCACCACATAGAACAGCTCACTCAGTGAGGACTCAAGTGTGATAAATGCCGTTGCCCCCAGGTGGCTGATTTCTGCAGTAGATTTAAGCATGGTGGTAGAGTTTGCAGTAGGATTTGCTGGTTATTCTAGCTCTGAATCCTTTCACCGTACATTGTGAACATTACTCTCTGACAGAGATGTCTTATCAAAAGGAGAAATCCATAAATTTGGAGTATTTATATTATTTCATTTGCTTAAATAGATTCTTGGGTATGCTGTTTTCCCACATTGAGAGGCTGAACTCTTTCAGGTTGGTAGTGGTGAAGAGCTTAATAATTCTATACCAGGACAGGAGATTTTCAGGAAGAAATAATTCTCTTTCTCCACCCCAAATAGAAATCACAGCTAACTCTGTTAGTCCTTTTACCTTCTTTTTAATAACATGAGTGTATTTTGTTCACAGTGTGCTTACAGAAGAAAAACTGTGAAAGTTTGAGCAGAATATTTGGCCTTGCAGAGTCACAAGAACTATCTTCAGAACTCTCTTTAGGATCTCTTGTCTCCTTAGGAGCTCACTTTTTAGGAGAAAAACAAAACACTATGATTGACTCTTCGCACAACTGTCAGGATACAGGTGACAGACAGTGCATGGTCTCCCAAAAAGGCACAGAAATGGTTTAATGTGAAATGCAACTACAACCTCTGATACAAACTGGAGATTTTGGTTATCCCATGACTAAAAAATATGTCTGAATCTGGTGACAGAATTGTTGTTTGGCTTCTAGCATACGCTTACGTATTTGTGTAGTGCAAAACGTGTTAAACTCTTTTCCAAGCGCAGTTCAGTTCATGTGTTTAAAACATACTGTCAAAGGAAGCCACTTTGTTAAGGGAGGTATGTGCAGTGAGACCCAATAAAGATGGTGACTGAAGCTTCTTAGACTACTGCCTTCATTTCCTGCCTTTCCTATTTTTCATAACTTTGCATATATAGTGAAAAGGGGGGAAAAGTAAACCAAATCCTTTTTGCAACTGCTCCAAACTTGAGAAGCTTGTAGTTGTAACCATTTGCAGGGCTGAGTCATATCATGGTTTGTATTTTTGCTCTTACATCTTCACCTAAAGGAATGGGAGGATAAGTGGGGAAAATATCCCAGTAATGCTTCTGTGCATTTTGAGTGTAAGTCCAAATAGTGTTTGTAGTCAAGGTATAAACCCAGACAAGTGGACCTCTTGGACTGTCTATAGTGTGTTCCTAATGTTTGTTCCATTACCATTTCTTAATTCAGTTGCTTTATGGATAAGATCATGTTTTATGATGTTGGGGGGAAAGAAGAAATTTTCATTTTTAAAATGTTTTTGTTATATGGTATTTTACTCTTTTAAATGTTCAACTGAAGGTATTATGGTTGTTCTCAACAATAAACATTGCTGTTTGTTCCTGAAGCTGTGAAAGGCTTTGCATTTGGTAATTAAATGAACTGCTTGAGTTAGTATTGTACTTTCCAGCCTTTCACATTTAATTAACATTCAGGTGGGAATTATGAACAATTTATATCTGTCAGGAAAAGACAAGACGTAACAAATTGTCTCCGTGCAGATGTGAAATTGAGGCAACCTTAGAGAGACTAAAGAAACTGGAGCGTGATCTGAGCTTTAAAGAGCAGGAACTAAAGGAACGGGAGAGACGTTTGAAGATGTGGGAGCAGAAGTTAACTGAACAATCAAATACTCCTGTAAGTAGACAATAATTCAACCTTTCATCTTGTGTCAGAAGTATTTGGAGCTTTGTCTATGTAAATCTCAAGACACACAAAGGAAGTAGTGCTCCTATTTTTAGTTGCTCCTTTGGACCAATTGTATTGCATTACACCAATAACAATATATTTTTTAAATTCACCTAATACACTAGATATCACATACTACTCATAGTTCATATTGTGACATGGACATTTTAAATGGTGTCCCATTGATTTATTTAGAGTTCTTAGCTTTAAAAGTTGTTTACATTCAATGAATTCTTTTTTCAACTAGAAAGTTGGTGACTTTATTGGATGCAGTATTTGGTCTTAATTATAAGAATCATTTGTATCTTGCAGAAGGCGTGTTGGGAAACTTATGAAAATTTTTTTTTCTGTTACTTTTCTTTGAGAAGAAATAAATTCCCATTTTGTGAAAAGGGTGTCAAAATCTGAAGTGTTAAATTTAAGGCTTTGTTCWTAATTATAGTTAACATAACTTGGACTGGCCAGTTACCAGCTGGTAGAATTGCCTAATTTCTATTAGTAAATTGAATAAAAAACCTTTCTTGCATTATCTTGAATTTCTTAATGAAATACTATATTCTTCAACCACTGATTGGCAGAGGGAGGACCACAGGGTTAGTGCATGGCGAGACATGTTCTAACAGAGTTGTTAAAAACCTGTGATACCTACTTGTTTTTAAAGCCCTGGCTAAAACAAATACCAAATYATTTACATATGACTTGTTTTTAAGGCATAGCTTATTGTTGTTGTTTGAATGAAGTTGCATTTGTGTTCCAGCTGTAAACATGCAGTAATGAAATCATGGAGGATAAATGTTTTCCTATGTGCAGATTCTGTATGTTTTCAGTAGATATCTGTATGCCTGCTTTAACGCTTGCAAGATTCCAGTAACTGAGCTATGGGTCATCCTCTATCCTGAGCACAGCATGAGACACAGCCTTAATGAGCAAACCTTTTCACCAGCAAGGCCCTAGGGTTTTTTTTTTTTTATGCTGTACTTGCTTATGACTTGTACTTTTCACTTAGAGCTGGCATTGCTGCAAGAATAAAGCGTTGTGCTAAGGCCTATTGTGCTAAGCATGAACTGTCTTTCTGCATAGAATTAACCCAACTCTCCTATTGCATTTAAATGCAATTTCTTCTAATAGAGAAATACAGGTTTGTTTTTTCCATACATCCTAAGTGAACTGTTACACAGAACAAATTTTTTTAAAAGCCATTTAGCTGGAAAAAAATTGACATACTGGCAAAAAGAGGGCTTGTTCAAGCAGGGTTGTTTKTTGTCATAGCACTGGTTACACATACAACTATATTTTAAATTCATAGTTGTAAGTCATTTTACAAATATCCTTGAGCATTCTGTTTGCAATCTGTAATCCTTGGGAGTTAAGCATCTGTCTCTTCTCCATTAATTCAGGCAATGGCTGCTTAGCAGCATCAGACCAGAGTGTCAAAATAGGGAACTGCAGTGCTCAACTTTAAACTCCCTCCCCTGTAAAAACAAGAGTACAGATATAGCAACAGAGCTATGGCACATCTTAGGGTACCCACTAGGCATTAACCTGGTTCTTAGCCAACACTAGGCCTCGTTGTATCCTAGCTGGTGCTCTTGTCCCTGCTCTGTGTTCTGCAGTCACCTCTTCATTTGCTCTGCAGCAAAGACCAGAGGCCAGCAGTGRTATGCAGGAGAAACTCAAACCAAGTGAAAGGAGAACAGCAAAGCTGTCTCTGCCACTTGATTGTCCAATGTTGTAGGGTTGGTAGAAGCTTTATCCTGCATGGTACATAACTATGAGTGGCAGGCRGTTCCTGCTTCACACACTTCACCATGAGGGAAGGATGAGGCCAATAYTTAGAATTTTTCTGTGCATTTCTCCCTGCTCTTGTTTTGATCCTGTTTTTACCGCATCTTATACAACAGAYACCTTTGAGGTTGATCTCTGCAGATTCCTTTGTGCAGATCTCCAAGAGCCTCTAGCACAAGGGAATCTGGAAGGTTTTGGTGGAGTAAAATATGTCCATAGCTGCAGTGAAATGGGAGACTTCTCTTGAAAGAAGATCTGCCTTTAAGAAGGGAGTGTATGTAGCTAAGMTGAAGCTCTTATTTAGAGGAAGACAGTGAGCAAGGCATGAAATCCATATACTCACCTGTGATGTCCTGTACCTGCAGGTGGTCATTTAAGAASCATGGAATTTAGAAAGATTGGTGAATCCCAGTCATTTCTAAATGTCTCTTCTGATCGTCATATGCTATGTGTCACTAAAGGCATGTCCAGTCCCAAAGAACTCTTAATTCCCCAGATTTGGAATGAAAGGTGAATGGCAAGATATGGAGGAAGTAAAGTGATTATAACTTGCAGAATGAGCCATTCACAGCTTACCCACTCTCAGACATTGAACAGTCAATGACCAAGAAACAAGTTTTTAGTGGAAAGCTGATTTGCAGCTTTGTTGATTTTTGTAGGGAATTCTTCCCATATGTTAGGGGATGCTTTTTTGTGGATCTAAAGTGACTATAGCTACCTGGCAATGAAGCATGTGTGCTGTGACTAGACCTTGCTTAAAACAATCCTTTTTATCAGKAGGAGCTTTTGGTGTCCTTGATCCAGCTAGTACTCTTTTGATGGTGTAACTTTTTTTTTTTGTATAAGCTTAGCTGCAGGTTCTTTCATCACTGAGCCATAGGRTGCATGGAGAGTATTTAAGGCACCTCATCACCCCCGCTTCTTAGTTTTATCTTTGTTTCTTAAACTCTGATCAAACAAAYTTGACTTTACCACAATGCAAATAGTAAGTCTATGTAAATAGAGAAAGCTCAAGTGTAGCAAAAGATACATACTGTCTTTTTTAATGATAGAAAATTAATCAATGTAAGTGGTTTTACCAAGAAATGGGCACTCTTTGAGCAACCTGGCTGTGAAGCCGCTTGTGTTACATACCAGAGCATCACCATAATCACCCCTGTAACCTGTTCTGACCAACTGCCATTGTCTCRTCAGTCAGTTTTCTGATTAGGTTAAAAAGATGTGAAAAAACATGAATTTTGGGTATGTAGTTTTGCGGATAACTTTGGAAATAAAGGCTAGTGCAGGTGTTCACATACAGCTTCTTTGCTGTTGTTTTAGTAGGTAGTTTAATTTAGGATGAAACTCCTGAGTTTTTATTGTGAAGCACAGGCAAGCACGTCACGTAGGTTACTAGCCCAGCCACACTGAAAAGGCATTAATCATTTAGCTGAAGAGGGCATATTTCATTTGTTATTACAGGCAGACTGGATCAGGAGAATGCCAATATCTGTAGGTGACGATTATATAAGTAGAGACTTACTATGATGTAGAACCAAACGACAGATGTCTCTTGATACCACTAAAAATAAAATTAAATTTWAAAMAGAGGGAACCAAGCTGAAGAAGCTGATGAGCTGACCAAAACCTCCCCTCTTCCCCTGCCTGCTTGTCGCTGGGACAGCTCCTGAAAATGTGGTGCTGGTGCAGGCTGGAGGCTGGTTCTCATGTCCTTTGCATTGGTGACAGACTCATTTCTGATTGCACCTGTTGCAGGGTGACCCTTTCTCTCCCTTTGAGCATACACTCAAAACCAGTCTGCTGCTGCTTATATTTCTGATATTTAGGAGCTGCTACTTCTGTGCCAAACTGCAGAGCTTGTTTGGGTTCTCTGATCTTAACCTGATTTATTCTTCARTCCTGAAAGGTTCAATTAAGCAACTCCAATTGCCTTGGAACCAGTCCACCTGGTTGGGAAATATCATATTCTGTTTTGTGCCATACAAAATGAAGGATTGAAGAGTTTGAACCTTCTTTTGTCATGAGAGCTCTGTTGCCTGTGGTTCTTGCCATGCCATTCAGTGATTTTGCACTTTGGTTTAAGAAMAATGACCCCAGAAGGATGCTGTCTGTTTTAATGAATTACTTGACCTCCATGTTTAGATTCACTAATCGTATGCTTTCTGTTGATTGCTGACTAATCTGGTGGTGTCTTTTTCCTTGATTTTTAAATTGGTTCTAACTTTCACTTTTGCTCTGTCGTTTCCTCCTTTAAATAGTTTTTCTTACCTCTTGCTGCAAGAATGTCTCAGGAGTCTTACTTTGAATCTAAAACAGAGGAGTCAAACAGTGCAGAGATGTCATGTCAGATCACAGCAACAAGTAACGGGGAGGTAGCTGGCATGAACCAAAGTCTGAAGGCCTTGATGATGACGGGCTTTGGGGATATCTTCTCTCTGAACCAAGCAGGATCTGTCCTGCAATCTGGAATGCAGATAAACATGCAAGCCAAAAAGAATTCTTCTAAAACCACCTCTATGAGAAAAGGGAAGAAAATCAACATGGCTTTGGGTTTCAGTGAATTCGACTGGTCAGATGACGATGATGATGATGATGATGATTTTGATGACACAGATGATAGCAGCGAATGAAATAAGTTGTAGAATTAACCCTGAAATCATTTTAGCAAAGCAAAACAATAAAGTTTTAGAACAAGAATCCTGTCAGTTTGGTCTGTTTAAATCCTGTAAAAGAACAAAAAATGRAAAASMAAAAACAAACAGCAACAACAACAAAATACATTTTCCAGGCTAAGCATATTTGTGTGTAGAAAGATATGTTGTTTTTGTTTCGACTTTGCTGACTTATTTCTGCTTTGATGAAATTTGGACCTAAACTTTCCAAACTAATTGAGATTATTATTATTTTAAGAACCATGATTATATCTGTAATTCCTAATGCCTGATTACAGAAACTATGCCTTCATAAATTTAAGATCTGGAAACACTGGGAGAAACTTCAATGCCTTTAATGCCATTAATGGACTTCAAATTTTTCTTTTGTTTTTTTTTTGTCATTTCCCTTACCCCTATAATTGTCAATCATATGTGTATACTTGTACTTCCAGATTTGCTATTCTCTACATCCATTCTTTCTTACTGTTGCAGTGAAGGGGTTTCTGTGTTTCTAATTTAAAGCCTTTTTCAAGGCAGCATTGTGGGAAGTCACAAATAGGTTTCTAGGAAGAGAGAAGCTTGGGGGGAAGAGAGGGGTTAGTTAAATGTATAGTTTAAAAACTGAATAGCAGCAGAATCCACATAATCCCTATTAGTAGATGATTTGTATAAATTTTTTTTTCCTCACGTGTATGTGCATGTGTATATAATTCACTCTAGCAAAGCAAACTGCAATCAGACCTCTGCATCTATTATCAGATATTGTGATCTAGAAGCTAATTTTCAGTTATGTTGATGTGAATCCATGAAGCCTCATTAACTTTGATGGACTTATTCTTGTACCTGAGAGCAAAAACTGGTATTTGTGAATTTTGATTTTRTTGTATCTCTTAATTGGTTGTGCTATCCTTAGGAAAGGACAAAGAGAAGCCACTATGACATTTCAGCTTGAGCCCTACTACTGTGGCTTRTGTGAAGTTCTCTGTGATGGCAGTAATGTCAGGAATATTTACTAGTCTCTGCATGCCTGTTTTTTGCAGCTACATTACATTTAAAGCATAGCCACTGCTGTTATGGCTTACCACAAAACCCAGTGTGTAACAATCTGCTGCAATAATTGCCTGCCAGGCACTTATGTTGAGAGCAGTGAGGATGTTTCTCCTGATGACCCCTTTAGTGGTGATGCAGAAGGAGGGAGGGAAACCAGTGCGAACACAGATGCAGGTTAGAAAAGAAGATGTAAAATATCTGCCAAGGAAGAAGGGCAGCATTTCAAAAGGAAGATGTTACTGTGTAGTTCAGCAGTAGTGGGAATAATCCATCAAAATTCCATTCTCAATTACTCGAAGGGTTTCTTTTATGAAAACTTCTGGTTTTGAGTGGCTTCTTTAATTATAGGCTTGCCTGTAACACAGCTCTAACCTACATATTATGGTGAGTGTTTTGTGGATAGCTTAGAGAAAAATGGATACATTAGATAACAGCAGGCCTGAAATAATTACATGTTCACTCAACAAMACAGAAGGTTCTTTGAAAGAGTTTTTCTAGAGCGGGCATCTGTTTGGGTCTTGAGAAAGAATYGTTTTATTCTTTACCATCAGCACTGGTCTGGTAACCTGTAAGGCAGCAAGTGCTGTGCTTCAAGCTGGCCTTTCCTGTTCAGTTTGCGCAGGATTAGCCCCACTGAGATGTTTGGTTTCTGCAGAATATCATTGAACATTCTACCAAACAGTTGCAAATCTATTGATTTGAAGGCAGTCCTCTTGTATGTGGAAGCTTTTCTCATGATGAAATTGTAATTTAAATTATGCAGTGAATGTACAAAGTATCCCAAGGAGAAACTTACTCCTTACGCATGGGTGGGGGTGTCTTCTTCGGTCCATGAGAGCAACCTGATTTTAGGGAGAAAAAGAGATGTGGAAGGGCAAATAATGMGATGGAAATAAGAACAGATAGGCTTTTCCAGTGCAGATTTGTACTATTTTTGTGAGTCTACRTCTGCTAATACCCACAGCAATGATACTGTTTTTGTAACTGCCACTTTGCACTCAGCAAAATTTGATGGATTTGTTTAATATAATATGTGCACATTGGATCTTAAGATGTGTGTCATTGTGCATAAATTACTGTACCACATAGGCAGTGTAGGGTTGTACAACTGAAAATTAAATTTAGTTCAGTATATCTAGGATTCGAAAACAGAACAAAACAAAAAATCTTTTCCTAGCATTGATATTTTGCACKTTTTTGGTGTTTGATAATCTCAGAGCACTTCATGCACATTTATGTTCATATGGGTTTTAACTGAATTTGTAAATTCACTCCTTAATATTAACAGAAATAAAACTAGTTTTTAAGTAGTATGACACAGATTTTCGTAGTTGCAAAATCACAAAGTTTAAGTCTTTCTTCAAGGTTTTGTGCTTAACCAAGTCTRTAACTTGTATTAGCAAATATTATCAGAATGTGATAATGTGCATGTAGTAATTTCTGCTATTTGTTTCAGTATTTTTTAATGAAACAAGATGGATTTTTTTCCCTTCATCTTTCTTTCCCCATATATATGTCAAAGCAAATTAAACTATATTAGAGGAAAATTCAAGCTCTTGTAAAACTTCCCTATGCATTTAAAGTCACAAAGGTGATCTCTGAATTGTAGATAAGGTGACAACATACGACAGACTCTTCTGATGTGGTTGACATAGTGTTACACTTAGGATGTTGGCTGTGCTTACTAAAAAAGTAGTGGTATTGATTGCATTTTTGGTTTCCTGTGATGAGTTTCCTACCAGATGTCTCCAGTTTACAAGCCRAATATCATACGTGAGAATCAAGCTGTGTTGTTTTTGCCTCTGAAATGCTTCTCACTAGATGAAGGCTTTGAAAGTGGTTCTGGTGAGCAGGTGTGGTGCTTGGAGGAGGTCAGAGTATTTCATCATCCACACCTGATTTTGTTCTGCAGAATATCCCAATCCATCCTCTATGTGTCTCATCACCAGGTTATAAGAATCTCCACAATAGTCCACAGCCATATAGCGTGTCAGCTTATGAAAGCRTTAACCAAACCCAGAAGGCAATTCTCTGGCTGCTCTGGGCCAAAACCAGAGCAAACCACCTAAGTCTTCCTGTGCCTTGTACACCTCTCAGCTCACTGAGTCCTGCCAGGCCTTTTGGGTTCCCAGTTTTCTATTTCTCTCATAAACCTGAAGGTTTCCAGTAAAATAATATCGTTGCATTTGATGGAGGGGAAAGGTAAGAACTAGGCCTGACCTTCCTGTTTTTACCAGGCTGCTGTACTGCAAACATTGACTTAGGTGGGTAAACAGCCTGAGGGAAGAATGGGGAGAATCAACTTTTGGCTTACGTAAAGATGCACGGTCAGCTGGGACCAGGACAGGATGTCCAACTCCAAACTCCTTTTCCTTCAGTAAGGGTGAAAGAAAATGGAAAGGGGACTTAATGGAGGAAATGACTATCGCTCTAGTCATTTTTGTGACTATGACATCACAGATTCCTTGGAGTAGGAAGTGGCCTAAGGTATGGTGTGTAAGTGTGCTTCATCGCCAGCCACATCTTTGTGTGCTCCCTGACATGGAGCTTGTCCCCTCTGGATGGGAAGGGCTTCCTGGAGATGAGGTCKGGCGTGGCCTCTTGTCACACAGTCATGCTCTTGACTTGTCATTTGTTTGTCTTTACAGAGGTTTTTTTAGATGTTGATTCCCTTTCCTTCTGGGTTTTAAAGTGTTTATTCGGAATTAAATATCTGATGCAGTAAYGATTGGTATTGCTCTCAGCAGTGGCAATAGATCCATAGTGTGCATATAGCTGTTAAGTATTCAGAAGTGTTACTGTGTGTCTTTAGTACTGTACTTCCTTTTTCTGTAATCAGGCAGCTTTTACAGGTTTTTAATAAGACCTCTAACCTGACAGAGGTTTTAACTACAGTCCTAGGTAGAACGTTCAGGTATAAAAAGTAAGTTCATTTAGTAATTTTCATAGCCCTTAAAATGCACTGGTAGGAATCTGGAGGAGAGACCTTTCCCTTTCCCCCAGGTTTCGACTTAGTGTACACTGTAAAATCTGCACAGAGATTTCTGATGTGCAAAGATYTAATTTTAAAACTTTAGAACCAACAACTTTCTTTAAACATTTTATATTGTGTGCTAAATTCATATGCCTTTTAAAGTCAGATATAGTCCACTGCATTTCTTGCTTTTGCACTACTGAAGAAGTTTTGTACTGAATAGTAGGAGTCGATGCTATTTACACTTCTAGTTTGAACTGATGGAATTTGAATAGAAAATATTTTCACAGTGTTAGAAAACTTCATTTTCCATTCTGAAAAATCAAAGCTGGTTGCAATGCCTATGCCAAGACTCTTGTGCTGTAAACTGAATATATCATTTGTGTGGAACGTGCAATGTTACACTTCTGTGTGGTAAAATCTTGCAGTGTCAGTTATCCTTTTTATTGCACTTGACATACCATGTCTTGTTTTATTCACACTGTGGATTTGATTTTCCAGTGTAAAACCAAAGCAAACAAAACGAAAWCATGCAATGTATTCAACTTCCTCGATTGGTGTCGTAAACTTTCTTTTGATGTGAACTTTTCCTTTGCTTCTCTTTTGTTCCAAACTTCTATTTGCAATAAACATTTTGACAGTAAATTTTATGCATTTGTGTCACTGTGTAAAATACTGGTGTTTCAAAAGGTTTCTTGATGTCTGCTGGTTTAAGTCACTTTTTAGTATTAYTCACTGTGTGACATTTCTCCATTATTCTCCACTGAGAAAAAAGATACTGAACTATTCTGCCACTGGTTATATTTAAACATGCAGAAAGGTGAAAAAATCCACTGTGCATCAAAAAATGCATTACTGGACTTCTGCAGTAAATTTTTCAGTTACACAAATTATTGTACCAGGCTCCTGCTGCAGCACTAGCCAGTTTGRCTAAAGTTGCCTACAAAAGACACAACTCACAGCCTCCTGAGTGTGTTCACAATTTCCACTTGCCCTTCCATGTGCTTTAATGTTGCCCTCAGCACTACTTTTGCCCCACAGCATTCTGCCCAGGCTGTGGGTTGCTGTTAGCATAGAGATGGCCTAACAGCAGGTAGGTTGAGAAGCTTGGTTGCAAATATGGTGTAGTGGAGTGAAAAAGTTAGGAAGGTCTCATTTTTTTCTCGCCGACTCATCTTGCCTTCTGCCAGTTCACCCTGATGCCTTTGGCTCTGTCSCCTTTGGGGAGGCAGTAGGAAAAGGAGTGGGTTTGGAGATCTTCTAGATCCTCCTCACAGAGCTGGCTTCAGCTGGTATCATGAATTGTTTGTGCCCGGCAAGATTTGACTGAGACATTAGTGGAGGAGAAAGAAGATCTAAAAAGTCCTCAAAGTGGGGGTGGACAGTAAAACATCAGTGGAAAAGGAGGCGGAAGTCAAGGGGTGTCAGGCACTCAAAAGTTCTTCAGTGGGTGTTACAGATGGGTGCAGCAAAAGGTGTTGCACAGTGAGGGCTGGAGGTTGTGGACAGGTGACACTGGACCCTGGAGAGCAGCTCTGCCCTGGGGCTCAGTGTGCAGCTGGAGGAGGCGAGGTGAGGGCCTGCTGAGGGGACATGTTAGTTTGTGGGTGGGGGCTGGCAAGCCTGGGGRTGGCAGGGCTCTCTGGAGGAGGTGACAAAGCCATGGGGGCTCATGGGTGACTGAGCTGAGTCTCATAGATCACTGTTACCTACATCAGATGAGTTTGTGACTATATCATGATATTGAGCCTCTGGGACACACTGACAGTCCAAATACACATCTGCAGCAGTTMATGTTAACCCTTTAATGTTAACCCTTTAAAGATAAAAATGCCAAGAAGGTGAAGCTTAGGATTACAAATGCTTGAATGAGTAAAATGGCATGCAATATTACAGTGACATTTCCTCAGACCATGTTCAAATCATCCCARAATTTTGTTCAATGCAGCCTTTTCGCTGTGGTTTTCTAATGCTTCAAGGGCTAACRCCATCTTGCATCCAACAAAGTGGAGGAGGAGGCCGGAAAGTGCTGCACTCCCCCAGCCTTAGGGGAGCAGTTACAGAGCATTGACAGAAACCGAGAGAGACTTGTCTGTACATGGACAGGGAGACTATCTGCAGTGGCCAGACTCCAAATTCTGTTTTCACTGCTGTCCAGTGAGAGTTTTYCTTCCTTTTGCAGAAAATATCCATYATTTGGGARGGAGTCATAATCACATCATTATTTTCATTGCAGAAATCAAGTGACACCAAAACCATAGCAAAAGCCTTCCCATAGTGTCAGAGCCAAGATTCCCTTGCCATCATATTGTTTACTTTTGCTTTCTAAGTTGTTTTTATTGGAGATATGCTGGTAATTCTATCTGCAGGGGGTGACAGGATTGGTTTAACACTGCCAACATGCTGTTGGAGCCAGCCCATGATCAGTGTGAATCCAATGGTTTAGTACATCAATATGAGTCGCAGCCTAGGTCCTGCACTTTGCAGGGAAAAAGGAACAGAATAGTGTCAGCACCAGAGTGAAATTTGGGTGGAGGGGAGAAAAATGGTCAGATGGTTTTCTTTTCAATTCGTATCTCTCACACAGCTGCTGCCCTCCTTTGATATTTGTGCATGGACTGAAGAAGATGTGGTGAGTATTTTGTGTTAATGTGGCCAGGGTTGTGCTGCTGGAGCTCTCAAATTACAGTGGCTGTGGCGGGAGGGAAGGCTGAATCAGAACATCTAGATGGGATTTTACTGCTGTTTGTTTAGTGAAACTTGTGCCCCAGAAAGGCTTCAAAATGACCATGAGTAAGTTAAGGATTTGAGTTACCTTCATAAAACAGTAACATTTTCCAGTGTCCAGAAGACAGTGATAGCTGGGAGCTGTCAGCAGCCAGGAGGGCATTCCTGAGTCCTGGTTTAAGGAACATGKAAGTGCCCAAAGACCTGGCCCTGGACAGGATGAAATGGGTTCAAAGGTTTTATCCCACTGTGTGCCACCTGGRTGGCAATTAGCTGAAAAAAAGTGAAGGTTTTTTTGGGGGATGTAGATCTCTATTTCAAATAAAATAATGGCATTGAGTACTTTTTACCTTTTTATTCAGTTAAAAGGCTAAACAAGACACATCAGTGATTTATCTCTGGCATAGTGATATGTGTCAAAATAGTTTTAATGTCCTGTCAAGCACTCTCTTTGTGTGTTGTGCTTTGTGGGGTTGTTCGGCTGACATTTACCAAGGACTGTTTGAAAAACCAGTGCAAAAGCCTTAAAATGCCTGGCTCCTTCCCTTCAGCCCTTTYAGTGTGTCACATTTCTCAGCTTCTGCTGTGGGCATTTCAGTTCTTCATGACAATTAACTGAGAAAGGTGGCTGCCAAATGAAGGCAGTTTGGAAAAGCTAAATAGAAGTAATCCCTTACATTAGTGAATCTTGAGCCATTTATCCCAAAGTGRGAAATATTTTTAGATTTTTCTTTAAAAAGGATGATTACTTTTGAACTCCTAATAACTGTAGTATAAAACTTTGATAATTTGAGCTTCAAGATTGATTCCTCTTTTTTGCAGTTTTTCTGGATGCAACAACTTACTAGAAAAGGTAAAGGCTATTCATCTGTACTATCATATTCAAATTTATGAACTTACATACATTTGTTCATATTTTTCCCCCCTCCAATAAGGTGCTCTGTGGATTTCTGAGTAACCTCTTTTATCTTAAGGTGATACTTCTGGTGAAATGAGTATCTATGCTAGCTTGTTTAAGGAACACCATATCACTGGGAAACAATTGCTTCTTTTGGAAGAAGAGGATTTAAAGGACATGGGAATTGTTTCCAGAGGACACATCATCCATTTAAAGGTATTTTCAGGATATATTGAATGTTGCAGTAGGTTATGGTGTGAATATTACAGAGTCTATGGGGATTCAGTTGTATTGGCTACAAAATAAGTTACAAAGCTAAATAGAGAACATATTTGGTATCTAAAATAAACAGAATTACAGCTTCATATGGATCCAGAACCCAAAGCAACCTGACCATTTTACGAGACTTGAAAATGTGCTATGGTCTTTATACACCCCTGTAGTTCTTGGTTTTCCTGTGAGCTGGATGGCAGTACTGCTACAAATTCACCTAGGAGGGCCATTCTCCCAGCAGAAAAGCTTGGGAATCTTTAGGAAGAGTTCTCTTTAGCTGAAGGAGAAACAGACCCAAAACCAGTTATTTGAACTGAAATCCAAACTTCCACGTCTCATTTATCGCATAAAGCATATTTGGACTAACAAAATTGAGTTGGGCAACTTTAAAACTGATTGACAGCCATGTTTCTTTGCTCTTAAAACTTTGCTTTAAATGAGTTAGGAAAATCATGATCTGGAAAATATGATCATGACAGCAGTAATGGTGTTAGTACTGTAGCCAAAGGAGAGAGCTCGGTTTTCTGGCGTCTTTTCCCCTTTGGAAAAGGGATTCTGTAAAAGCAGCATCTATAATTCTATTGGGTCTCATCATTTTAGATCACAATTTGCTAGTAAAGAGATACTTGTATCCAAATTGCTAGTCCTGCAAATTTAGCTTTGTAAGTCACACAGATTTGTTCCCTTTATGCTCATCAGCCTTTTTTTTTCCATGCCCACACACCATTACTGATATATTTCACTTATGTTTCCGACAGAGAAAATTATTGAAACTTTAAATATAGAGTCAATAATGCCCAAAATTAAAGATCTCAGCTTCCTGGGTTGATTGAGCGTAAATAAAACCAACAAAAACAACCCCYGAAACATCACTCTCTCTGATTAAGCAGATCTGATTCTGAATATGAAATGGAGCCTATCTGCCACAATAGTTTCCAGAACAGGGCTGTGTTTTAAACTCTTCTCACATGCCCTAATGTATCCACAGTTGAAAATAGAGGGTGTATGGAGTTGCACTGTTTTTCACACTGGTATTTGCAGGATGAGATACTGAATAACTCCTATGCGGTTTGTTTGATTTTTTTTTTCTAGACTGCTATCGAGAAGTTAACCCATGACTACCTAAACCTATTTCACTTTCCACCATTAATTAAGGCAAGTSTCATAGTTGATATAAGACGTGCTTCTCATGCTGGTATGAAATACTTCACTGTTCTCATGTCTCAACTGTCTCCCATTCAGGGGAGGGTGAAACTGCAGTTCCTGCAGAGGGTTGTACCAAATACGGAGGGTCAACAGCAGTGAAGGGTCACTCAAGAACAAGTTATAGGACAATAAAAGTTGTTATCAAGGAGGCTGTACAGTTTTACCACAGAATCGGTGGAATTAAATTAGAAGACAACTGGTTGCAATTAATTTGCTGTCATTAATCAGAAACTACTTTGAAGATCCATTCCTCCTAACTRCTGCCACCAACTGGTCACCACTGAAGAACAGCAGACCCCTGGCCCAGAATAAGCCCATCATTCYTCAGTTTGCTAATGTCACAGGAGACAAGCATGATTGAGTGTCTAGTCACCCTTATGTTAACCTATTGATTTTCTGATATTAGTAATAAAGACCCATGCACAAGGAAGCRTGTATTTGGGAACCTTGGTGTTGCTAGACCAGATATTTGCCTCATTTAGTTCAGTGAACTAATCAAGCAATTCTATACCCCAAATCCTGAATTAGCTTTTTTAGTCAT